TGCCCCCCTCCAGCTCCTACATGGAGGCGCAGCATCAGCCAAGTGGCTCTGTGCACTTGCCCGCCTGCAGGCACCATCTCTGCAGCTCCCATTGGCCACGTTTCCCAGCCAATGGGAGCTGTGGGGGTGGCCTTTGGTGCAGGGGCAGCGTGTGGACCACCCTGGCTTGCCCAACGCATGGGAGTCGGGGGGGGGACATGACGCTGCTTCTGGGAGCCACATGGAAAACCCCCGACCCTGCTCCCAGCAGGAGCTCGAGGGCCAGATTAAAAGTTCTAAGAGGCCGGAAATGGCCCAAGGGCCGTAGTTTGCCCACCCCGATGTAGACCCATGATTGCCCAGCTAGAGCCATGCCCAAACCATTTGACATCCATGCTTGATCAATGCAGATGCACAAATGTTCTACTGGATCCATTTAGGTCAATTCTGGATCAATGCAAATTCCAATCTAGAGCTATCAGTCTTGATCGACTCACGTGTATGCAAATTGGTTCTAGATCCACCTAGACCCAAACCATTAGTTTCTAGACCCATTCATGAGCCATGCACTGCTGGACCCAAAGAGTTTTGCTGGTAGCTACAGTAGGGGTCACCAACTGGGCTCCAAGGCCAGCACAGGGGGTTGGCTGGGAGCATCCAGGACTGGCCCCTGGGAGAAGCTGGAAGCAGGAATGGCTGGACCAGTGATGCTCCTGGCTCTGTCTATGGGAATCCCCATAGGGGGATTGTGTCTCCACTGACAGGCCAGGGATCCAAGATAGCGGGTAGGACTGATCCCCCCCCGCCCCTCCCCCCCCCAGGCAAGGGCTGATAAACCCAATATGGGCAGCAGGAGGAGGGGAGGCATCTGGCTGTGACAGTGTGTTTGTGGGGGTTCAGAGACACGCTGGGCATCACATACACTATGTCCCTGGGGGAGGCTGGTATCAGGGAGTTCAGAGCTGCAACCTCCTGTATCCTACACACACAGGGGTGGGATTGGGGCGTGTTCTCTCACCCAGCATCGATACCAATCAGCATTACCCACAGACCATGTAAGGGTTAGCTAGGGAAGGATAGAAATTGGTCCTTGGAAAGGAGATGGAAGCACTGAATTTCTGTAGAAGGGAAAGTCCTGTATCCCATTTCCCACCCCCCTGAGCCAGTCAGTCCCCTGCCTTGGTCCTGGATTGGAGCTTGCACTCCAATGGGCCCTGCCCAGCACCTACACATAAGGATCTCCACATTCCTCCCCTGCATGATGCGACATCTCCAAACCTGCAAACTCTCTGTAGGGCTTAGGCCCCACCCAACAGAATCCAGAAGTAGGGGCTGCCTTTTCCCTGCTAAAGGCTGTAGGGTGGCTCCAGAAAGACCAGTAGAAAAGCTCTCACCCTGGACTACTGGGGGGTTGTGGTCATCTCCCATCCCTCCCTTTGCCTCAGTTTACTCACCAGCCCTTTTGGGATAATAGTATCAGAGGGGTAGCCGTGTTAGTCTGAATCTGTAAAAAGCAACAGATGGTCCTGTGGCACCTTTAAGACTAACAGAAGTATTGGGAGCTTAAA